TTTCAATTGCGTATTGATAACATAAATTACTTGAGTTATTAATTAGTTTTCAATGTTTTTATTTAGAAAACAAAATTGATGCTTAGACATGATTTTTAGAATATAAAAAAAGGAACTAAAAAATGCTCCCAACATATTTGAGTCAGTTAAATTTTGTGCAGAATAATGAGGTTAAATCAAGAATTCAAGGATTTTCATTCCGAAGGAGCACTAACATGAGGAATGAAAGATAGATACTAAGGTCACAGTTGTCAGCAAAACAAATAAATAAAATAAAATAAGCCATAAAAAGACAAAAAAATGTACATAATGTGTTACACATGGAGGTTTTTTATTTATTTTATTTAACCTTTATTTATCCAGGTAAACTGTTTGAGAACCACTTCTCATTTACAAACATGACCTGGCATACACTGAGTGCATTGCAGTATACAAACCAACATATTCAGCCATAGTAAAGAGATTAAAATTTTAATCGCTATTAAAATTTTAATCTATGCCCAATACTAGAATTAATCAATATGAGTCAGCTCGATTAATTTCACAGCCTTAAAAATAATGTAAAATTTTATATAAATAGTAAAAGTTTTCATATACTTATTCTACCAAGCAGCTTTTAATGATAGCCTAACAGTTGGTCTGCTGATGTGCTCTTCCCTCAAATGTTGCCTGAAATACAATAAAAGGGTTTTAGTGTTGTGGTACTCCATCTTCTTGCCATTTTGAGCTGATGATCCAAAACCGTACTTATTCTCTTCAAGTTTGTTGTATTTATATCCAGTGATGTCYTGTGTAACATGTCAACATGTCTCCAGTAAAATACAAAAACAAAGCAACTCAGTAACTAGCCATCAAACAGCAGTGGGCTGCCTAATGCCAACAGTGCGCCGGGCTATAAGCTAAAGCTAACGCTATCGCTAAGCTGCATGAKTATGAGTGACACGATGGTGCTTTTCATTGACTGAGTAAAACACAACAACCATATTTCTGTGACACTTCAAGTCAGAAAGCCTGATCAGCAGCCGTTCATATCGTTGTTTACAAATGAATAACTTTGCRTCTTTTTGTGTTTGATTTTTGTTGCAGGTCTCGTCATACCGCTCCAGTGTGTTCTGGCCTGCAGGCTCAGATTCTGTCCTGTTACAGGGAGAACAAAGACCAGACCTTAAAGTGTTCAGACCTGGCCAAAGAATACATGCAGTGTATAAATGCTGCAAAGAAGGTATTTATTTATTTATTTATTTATTTATTTATTTATTTATTTATTTATTAGTCTGCAAGGAATAGAATTTGAAATATCAAGAACAATATGAACTTGACAAACTGTTGTAGTTGTCTGTCTGTAAAGTTTAAATCAATTTACAGTCAGGTTTTCTGACTGTTTAACTCAGGGGTGTCAAATTTTCACTGAGGGCCACATGAGTGTTATGGTGGCCCCTGAAGGGCCAGTTGTAGTTAACTTTGACCAAACAGTGTTTTAACACGTCCTCTTTTAAACACTGATGAGAAGTAAGTGTACGACTGACTAAATCTGAAACAAATACAGAAATATTATTAAAAGTAAATTAATAAAGTTTTACTCACTGATGAGTTTCTAGTGAGGAGCTAATATGCATTATGGCAGATTTAGTTGCTGACTTTAAAGCAGCTCATTTTCAAACAGCTCAGTTACTTAAAGCCAGCAGCTCAGGGGCAGGACTAGTGATGTGCAGATCGATACCGAAATATCGATACTGCCGATACCAGAACTTTATGTTCTAGAATCGATACTAAAATCAAAATATYGATACTTTGATACTTCAGTTATTACACATAATGTATATCAACAGGAAAATTGTGGAAATAACTGTTCAAATCTTGTCTAAATCAAATGTGGTTGGAGGGAACTACTTTTTCTTCCGCTTAGGTAATGCATGCGCACAGTGGCACATGCTCAGTCGCTCAGTCTGTAGAGGTATGGCAGGTCATTTTAACATAAAATCTGCTTTGTCTGACCAATTAAATTCTAGTTCCCAAACTTTTTCATGCCACGGCCCCCTAAACAGCATTAGCTCTGGTCAGGGACCTTCTTGCAAACCCACAAACAATGCTACAAAATATACAAAGTAACAACTTTTAGAATACTTTTTCTCACTTTTAYTCACTATTCAAAATTTTCTTTAGAATAAGAATTGTGCTAAACAAATAKAAGGTCAGTGTTAGAAAGACTTTTAAATTAAATACATTACTATGGCATGTATTATTTATAAAGCAGTTATTTGAAAAATGCTGCTTTACCAGGCACATTATGTGTGTTAGCACAGTATCGGATCAGTATCACCGAAACCAGACACATTTTACTTGGTATCAGTATCGGAAAGRAAATTGGCAGTATCGAACWTCACTAGGCAGGACAATTGTTATTATCTTTCATCTTTTTAATTTATTTTGTTGCGTTTAATCATAAATTTAAAGTTTACCCTTGATATAAGAAACAATTCTCATGTTAAGTAAAAAAATAATAATTGGCAGGCCACACGGGAATGTGGACAGATCGGTCTGGTTGAAATTTCCTCTCAGTTCATCATTTTTATTTGACATATCAGAATTAAATGTTCTAAATGTTATTAGCTCTCATAAAGTCAGGAAAAGTTTACCAACAATGACTATAAAAAACAAGTTATTGAAATGTTATGTTTTTAGAGCAGCACACTTTTTTTTTAAGTTCTCAACAATTTTCTGAAGAAGTTGGGAAGAAATAGCTCGGTAAAGTTTTAATTGCCTAAAGTTCGAATGCTGTTTCTCAGGGATGTCATGGRGGAAAAAAATCAAGCTATTGAAAACGGCTCACATGAGTGAATATATAAAGTTAAAGTTCAAAATCCAAGTCCCCCACCACCAATTGTTGTTTTCCTACCAGAACTGAAACTGACAAGCTTTTAAAATGACAGCAGAGTTTAGCTGCTTTAAAACGAGCTCACTTTGTTGCCACAGTGTGTGCTTGACAAAAATTAAAGTGTAGGTTGAAAAGGGGAACACAGGTATGAAAATACAAAATAACTGAATTTAATGCAAGATGTTTTCCCAGACAGTTATATTCAACCGTTTTGATTATTTCTGAATATGATCTTGTTCTGAAGCACATTAGCTTTACATGGATACATGTGCTGTGGAACTGAAGGAAACCTAATGGGATATCAGTTGCAGCATTAATTTATGTAGTTGTATCGATAGAATTCTTTAAGGTGATTAATTTAAAGCACTTGCTCTTTAGACAGCGTGTTTGTGCAAAGTTGTTTTTATAGTCCGTGCTCTTTCAGTGTCATTTCAACCACAGCAGTGATTGTGTTATTATATTTGTGTACACATAAATCAAATAACCGCGCACAGTCTAACATGATGTGAGCTTGTATAAAAGTGTGTGTGTGTTTTTAAAAGAGACTGGTGTGAGATAATGAGAAGGGAAGAAAGGATAGTTTTGAAGATTAGTGTGTGTGTACAGTGTTCGTGTTTGTGTTGTGTGAATATTTGATTGGTTTCTGAGACTCATCCCCGACTTCCAGTCCATCCCTTTTCAAACTTTTAAAAGTTATTTGGTGTCTTTTTAAAAGCCGTCACAGTTTGGTTCACACTTTTATCTGTTTTTTTTCCTGTGAAGGAGCTGCTGTTATTGGGAACCAACTAAATTTAATAGATGGTGGAAAGAAAATGTCATTTTAAAGCTTATGATTGTGTTTAAAGGCAAACAAATCTTTATTTTTTACATGAATTTAAGTTTATTTAACTTTTGTGAAGCAAAGGTTACACAACTCCATAATAATTTCAACTTAGTTAAACCTAATACCAGTTAAACCAATTTTTTTTTTATTCTTAAACATTTAATAAACAAGTGAAAAAGAACAGAAGTAGAATAAAATATAGTCCCGTTACTGTTTTGTCATTCCAAAGAATCGACAGGGATGTGTTTTGATCAGTGTCACAGCAGGTCAGTGGGCAGGCCTCTAGATCACAGATGTCTCCCTGCTGAGTTTTGCAACCGTGTGCGTGGATGTGTGTGTGTCTGTGTGTGTGTGTTTGATGGCAATTGAGGGAAAGATTCCACAGAGCCTGCAGAGTTGAAGCAAATAACCTCAACTCATTATCTACTGGGAAACTGAAGCAGACATGAGCGCAGCTACATGTAATACATACACACTGTCCAGACACGGGGTGGGGTTTAGCAGTCATTTATCTGCACTCTTGGAGGGGAATGCATTCAAAACACACACACACACACACACACACACACACACACACACACACACACACACACACACACACA